TCTTTGCCTTCGCTTCTGCAGGTTGAAGCCAGCCTCATCCAGGAAGAGGTACTCATGAGGTCTGGCCATCGCGTCCAACTGTAATATCCTCTGTGAAAATGTGAAAGTGCACAGGTGTTCAGATCAACAGTCAATCAGGTAGCACAGTATTGTCCAAAACTAATGTAGGCCACTGAGCAACACAGTATGTCCAACAACTGTACTGTGAACATGGATGTATACTTACTTGCACATACTCGTAACATAGGTCTTTGTGTCACGCAGAGTAGCACTCAGAGGGAACCCTATAGACCTGTTTCATCCGCATCTTTTGGTGCCGGAGAACTCTTGTCTATTGTGGCCAAGCTGAGATCATCAATGCTCTCAAAGCTGACATTATCTGCAATGACTTTCTCTGATCTCCCGGAGTCTGATGAGGTTGTTCTCACGAACCATATCCACAATGATGGTTTCTTGTGCCGCTGTAAATATGGCAACCCTCCCACCTCTATGTGGCACTCTTTCAACTCTAAAGAAAGAAACATGTGTTGTCAATTGACATGTTTTACAATAACAACTGATTTGAAACCAATGTACTACTTTCACAGGCTTGTAAAACTGTACTGTGACAAAGAAAGCAATAGAGTACAATACCTGTTGTGTTGTCTGAATGCCCTGATAATGGTGGCCACGGTGAACCTACTCAGGTTTGGATGGACTCTTAGTCCTGCTTCAGTCATTGTCATGCCATGGACAATGACATGGTCAATGACTGTTGCTCGCATCTCTTCCGTAATGATGGTGCAAGGTTGTCTTGCTCTCCCTCCTGGACATTCTCTCCCTTGTTGGCCTCCTCCTCTTCTTCCATGGCCAGCTCTTCTCCCTCCTCTGACTCGAATTCCTCTTCCCCTGACTTTGCCTTCATCCATTGTGTTTGTTTGGAAACTTCAGCAAACCGTGCACTCTGAACTAGCTTTTATACATGTGGTCACAGCATTAGCAACAAGTGTCTTCAATTTTGAGTCGTGTGTAATGAATGGCGACAGGTGTGTTCACTGTGTTCAATTAGTGCTGACTGTGGCAAGCATTTGGCATCACATGAGCTTTCATTTGAGAATATGAGCAGAGTTCTTTTGCAACTTGTGTTTTAGCAAGGAAAAATGTGTTTAGATTCATGAGAACGGAGGATTGTGTTTTGTGAATTGTGTCTTCATGTGAAATGCATTTATGATGTTGGAAAATGATGGCTAGATTTAGTAAATGTGTTTAGACAACTGGTCATTTGGTTTAGAGGATTGGCTTTTGTGTTTTAGCATTTGAGAAAAACTGTAAAATCATTCTTGATGCTCTTTCTGAAGTCTAGTTAATAACTGCTGTGCTCTCTAAGGTCAGCTGCGGTTCCTTCGGGGCACAGTGTGGCTTTTTGTTCCCCCTCAGTGAGATCTGTCAAACAGACCATCATGTAGGAAACATGGTTGGTTTACACCAAGAGAGAAGCCGCCGTTCAGTCCGCTTTCAGTAATGACATATTTATGCAAAGTCTAGTCACTATTGGACAACGTTGGTTAAAGATGGAGACAAGTGAAGGACAAAAACACATTTTCTTTCTTTGATTTCCATCCCATTAAAGCTGAATGGTTTATAATATTTATAGTAAAGCTCTACCAAAACCCGGCACAATCCAAACATTGGCTCTGAGGCTAAACCCTCCAGAAATCTGCTGTGATCAGCTCCCCCCTCGCTTTCACCTCCAGCTGGAGCAGAAAAAAACTCATCTCAAACGTATCGTCCTATGTGTTTATGGTAGAGTATCTATCCAGTGTTTTCCCCTTTCAGGAATTACGCGTGATTCTGCTCGACAGTTAAGCTAAAGTTCAGCATGTTATTTGGAGAACTTCATTTCAGATCACTGCGAGAAGTGCTTTAAGGCTGGCAGCTACTTGTAAACAGAGCTTGCACAATGATAACTGGGAGTCCTCTCTCATGCACATTGTCTTTCAAAACGTGGAGAGGGCAGTTATTTCCTGAAATACAAACATCCTCTGACATACCTTTAATGTAGGAAATGTGTCTTTTTATTGTTTTTGCTAAGCCCACCCCCTGGCTTATATAGCTCAGAACAATATGAACTGAGCACCAGTCAGCACTAACCAACAGACTTGCTTACGTACAGACATTAGTCCCAGGATGTACCTTGGTTGGCAAACCTTTCTCATGGAAAAAAGCTATATCATCATAATAGTTTTATACACACAGACCTAGTATTTAGTAGCACTTCTAGTGTCTAACGCCCACCTGGGATACATAAGTGGTGTGTAACATGATAGTTTCCTTGTGACTTCCTCAGCACGTCCTTTCTCGCCAGGAGCAAATGGGCAGCGAAGCTGTTCTATGCAGCTGATCCCATGGCACCATGAAACCAAAGAACTGCCAGACCCTGCATGATTTTTACATGATGATAAAAAGGTAAATGGCCTGAATTAGTGCCTACTAAGGTTCTACAACCCCTCAAGGTGCTTTATAACAGTCATCCGCCCACACACACATTCATACAATGCTGGTGATGAGTAACAATTTAGCCACAGCTGCCCTGGGGACCGACCTAAGCGAGGCTGCTGAACACAGGTGCCACCGGTCCCTCTGGCCACCATCAGCAAGTAAGGAGGGTGAACGTGTTGGTGTGTGTGTGTGTCTGCTCTGTCTTCTCGATCCCCAGTGAGTCGTGGCGGATGGCTGCTTGTACAGAGTCAGGATCCTCTGGAGGTTTTATCCTGTTAAAAGGGAGTTTTCCTCTCCACTGTCGCAAAATGCTGGTATAACCCGCCTGAAAAAAGGATTAATATTAATTTATTTTCATAGTATGATTATTATTTCTTTTCAATTTGGAAGTATAAATTATGCTTTTATTTTTGAAAACCGGAACTTTATTTTGAAAAGAACCAGACTGGAAGTTGTATCCGCTGGTTTAGCAAGAAAACTTAACATCGTTAAAAGCACCGTGTGAGACGGAGGGAGGGTAACTCCTGTTTTTCATGAGGAAAAGAGTTGGAGAGCTGTCGGAGAAGCACTTTCTGTCCTGGTTTCTCCTGTAGAAAACTTCGTCTTGGTCAAGTTTTTGATGTGCCTTCCTTGCGGATGCACGGGGAATGAACCTTTGCTCCTGGTTACCCACATGGTGGACCAGTGATACCAGTGATCCCAGTTGATGGTGAGCCTCCCAGTTGAACTTCGAGTTCAATGAACACTGAAAGTCACCCAAGTCATTCAACAGATTCAGTGGTAGGATTGTGTCTTTCACTGAGACACTCACACACAGCCAACTCAGGATTCATCTCCCTGATCGAACTCTCATTGAGCCATCAAACCTTGAACTGAAACCGAAGAGGAAATTGTTTACTTTTGTAACACTAGTTTTTGGGCCCTTAGGTTTTGTACTGTAAAATTGTTGTTACAGCTTATTACTAAAGTAGTGTGAGAGAATAGAGATGACCACCCTCTCTCTCTTTAATTTATCTGACTTCATTTCATTTCACTGCTAACCTTTTAGAAGTTCATTATAGCTCGACTTCTCCCTGTGGACTAAGTTAATGAGTAAACGATGTAGTAATAACATTTCGCCACAAGGGGGACAACGAACATAGCGAGTACTGCTGACCCAACGGTTCAACGACTAATTCAGTGCTGTTTGACTGTTGGAGAAGACGCTGCTCATTGCGCTCTCGTCTGTGTTAACAGGTAAAAATGCACAAATAACACAATAACAGCAATGGAGGAGATTGGGTAGAAGTCCGGGGTAATGAGGGGAATGTTGGCCGTCCATCCCTATACGTCTGTTTTGTAAAATGTTAGTTTTATATGGTAGCGTGAGTAAGCTAAGCTAAGCTAACTTTTACCAGTTGTACCAGGACTTAGTGATGCTGCTATAAATGTTGTGTGCTTGAAAGGAGTGAGCTGTATCTGACTTGTTTTAAGGTCAAGCTAAGGATGTGAATGTTTATGTTAAGTGTTAAACAGTTCAACGATTAATTCAGTGCTGTTTGACTGTTGGAGAAGACGCTGCTCATTGCGCTCTCGTCTGTGTTAACAGCCAAAGATGGAATAAAACCCGCAACAAAACACACTGACTACTCATTCATGTGTGCAACAGTTGTACTACAAACTATACAGGTGTCTCTGGCTTATTGCTTACTCACAGCTCCTATGAACCTAGGTCTAGACGTGTACATACTCTGAAGTGGGTTACACTTGCTTATGAGGATTGCTGTAAAGCAGGGGTGTCAAACTCATTTTAGCTCAGGGGCCACATTGAGGGACATCTAGTCCCAAGTGGGCCAGACTGGTAAATTAAAAACAACTTCAGGTTGTTTCCTTTGTTTTAATACAATCAATATAAAATAAGGCTGGAGCCTGAGGACAGTGTATCCAAAATAGTACAAGTACATCACCTGAAGTGTACTTGAAAATTTGAAAAAAAAAAAAAAAAAAATCAATAAATTAAAAAAACATTCCTTAGTGATTCAAAGAGCCAACAGATCACATGGCTATCAGTTTCATGCAGCACTTAAAGTATATTTGACTCATTTTACTTTACATCTTTTAGCTTTCACCAGCACATCAATATCAGAAGTCACATCCTGAGTGGCAGCCAACTTCAGGATGTGATTCAAGTTCTTGTGTGTGAGCCTTGAGCGCAGCTTTGTTTTATTTATACTCATTACAGAGGAAACTTGCTCACAAAGATAAGTTTATTTTCACTCTATATTGTAAAGTTTGAAAATAAAGTTTACACAACCATCTCGCGGGCCGGATTTAACCCGCCCGCGGGCCGCGTATTTGACACCCCTGCTGTAAAGTCACTGACACTAGTTAGTGACTGGATGCAGGAACCTTTTTACTGATTGGCCTAATGAACTGACCTGTACTGGAATGTTTGTGAAGTGTCTTGAGATGACTCGTCATAATTTGGCGCAATTTAAATAAACTAACTTTAATTTCAATGCCCAAGGATATGATTGACGGACTGAGTGGGGCTTGAACCTGCAACCCTCTGGTTACGTGGTGGGTACTTAACTTCTCTGTGACATTCATCCATAACAAGCAAGGAGAAAGACAGCATGTATCCAAAAAGGTCTGATTATGTTCTGTTCTGTTTGCCTCAGCCTTGGAGGCGTCACAGATGATGTATAATTTAAGCTCTAAAATCTTCATCAGACAAAACAACGCCTGATAAATTAAACAGGGTCACATGATTTGAGCCTCAAATGCTGTGGCTACATAATTACTATGATAATGATCCACGTTATGGATTCTGTACTTTTAGGCATGAATGTTAATTTTTCCTAGTTTTAATTTTAGCTGATCACATAAAACAAAGACAACAAAAGGGGGGGAAAGGGCAGATCAAACAAGTAGAATTAGCCAAATAACAGAATAATATTGCATCTGAAGTGGCTTTATTTGTTTTTCCATTTTCAGAAGATTTTTCAATCTTTTGTTTTTGTTTCTACAGTCATCTGTAGTTGTCTTCCTGTGCCAGTGTCATGACCCACCGAAGCCAAGCTGCACACAAGGAGGGATTTGTTCACACGCCTTGGCGAGGTGCTTAACAAGGGGACTTCACGCAGTTCAGTAGGACCTTTTAAAGGCTCCTGAGGGGATATCTGCCTCCTGAGAAACTGTACCGAGAAGCCGAGGCTCAAACAAAAGGGATCAGCAAAGCCACACCAAAGTGAACAATGCTTCTTTGGAGAACCAGAACACATCAGGACTCCGGCATGGGAGGCAGGAACAAAAGGACATGAAACTGGAAGTGAGGAAAAACATCTCCGCGAGAGAAATTTGGACGAGGGGAAAGACGATGCAAAGGAACTGAGGAGGAGATGGAAGATATTGAAGCGGGGGGAAATGGGCAGATTTTAATGAGGGGAACAGAGAGGCTAAAAATGAATGCAAAATATTGAATTTAATAGAATGTAATGAAACCCTGGAAGTAAATAACATGGTCGCTGGATATGTTGCTGTTTTTGCTGCATCTGGCCAGACACTTCACTGTTTCATTAGTACATTTGCACCAGTCACTCTTCATGCGACAGACTCAAAAAGGTGGATACATGTATTAATGTCCCTGCAGAAGACCAGAGAGCATTTCAGTCTCCTCCACTGACTTAAAAAGTCTACATCCTCACCAGAACTTCCAACATGAGTGGCTTTAGCCTCTTGCGGTTTCAAATCTAGTTTGTTGTCCTTTTAGGCACCTTTTCTTCCTCGTCACCGTTTTCTTTGCAGCCATGATGGAAAACAAAACGTTTGGGTCATTTTTCTTTATTCTACGTCACAAAACCCTTTTTATTTTGTTCAAATTCAATATGATGATAATTTATCCACTGCATCACACAGTGGTCAGCCATATCTCGATCTTGATGTTTGAGAAAACACACATACACACACACACACACGCTACAAATGTAGAATAATCTCAGTGAACCTTCAACTGAACCATGTTCAGCGCTTTGGGCTTCCTGACAGGGTTGCGGAAGGCGCTTTATAAATAAAGCTTTGATTGATTGATTGATTGATTGATTGATTGATTGATTGTGTTTCTGCTGATCTGAGCTGTACTGTGTCTGAGGGGTGGTATAGGATGAAAAACGAACACATGCACACTATTGTGTTCTGTTTACCAGGGAGTCAATAATACTGTCAGTTATTAACAAAACAGATTGCACTGTTAATCTTCTCACATATCAACATTATTAGTAATCAAGATGGAAAAATGATACCTCCAAAGCTGGTGAAGATAAAAGGAAACCCTAAAACATCACAGGACAAGATGAGCAAGAGGAGGAACTGCATAAAAAGTAATAAAGTCAGCAATGAGGAAAAATAAGTGTGAAGAACTGAAAGAGAAAAGAAATAGTGGAAGGAGGATAACAAGAAACTAGAGGCAGAAAAGAAATGATGCATGCTGAGGGGGAAAATGGGAAAGAGTAAATAAGTCGACATGAAAAAAGGAGGAGGTAAAGAAAAAAATGAATGAAAAAATGCAGCAAAACATGAAGGCAAAGAATTAGGAGCTGCAGGGGCTCTGTAAAAAGAAAAAAGTGGTAATGCCTCTCATTTTTCAAGTGTTTTGACAGCTAAAGACAGACAAAGGAAGCAGAAAAAAGAAGGAAAAGTAGAGTCCCTTGATCTGGTTACACAAGAAGTTTAACGGGGTCAGAAAGGTAGAGGAGGATCAGGATGGACTACAGTAGCTTCTCTTTTATCGTCCCTTATAGACTTGCTAAACACCTCTCCCTTCTCTTTTCATCATTTGCCACTTCCTTATTACTGCCGTAGCTTTTCCAACCTAATCAAATTTTCTAACCTCTAATTTTATTTTTTTCAGGGCAGAGCGATTGCTGAGAAATTAGTCCGGCAGCCTCACAGAAGTCCTTTCACTTCTGAGTGTTTCTGTATGGAGTTTGTTTTAACCACTCACATTAATTTTCAAACCACAAAAAATATGATTTTATGTAGAAATGCAAAAGAACAAAAAAGCTATTTGGCAACTGGACGGTCTAAAAATGAAAGAAAAATGTTGTATCCATGCATCCTCTGTGATGCTTGCTCCTCAGTAGGGTCACGGGGATTGATGAACACAAATACAATAGCCCCACAGATGATTTGTTTATTTTGCATAACAAATTCACACCTTTTTGTATGAAAACATGAAAATGTTACTTTCGTGAAAGAAATCACTGCATATTTGATCTGCTCAAAGCTTGGAGATTTTAATGGTTTACTAAGAAACATATTATTGAAATATAATTGGTCACTCTGAATTTAAAATGCAGGCTGAATGTGAAAATAGTCTTCTAAAGTAACTTTTGACGCTTGTCAAAAATAAGCACTTACTTGGCATCAGAATGTCAGCAGCTCTGTGTCAACGTTATAAAAGCAACGAGCGTCTCGGCCACGCCTTGTGGTGAGTTGGGAGTTGGATTTGCAAGCGAGTGTAGGAGGCTAGCCGTAGTTCAGCATTAGCATATAGCATTAGCATATCCTAGTCTTTAGCATAGCTTTTAGTGTTATACATACTTATTTAGTGTTAGCTTGGCTGTTGGATATTGTAGTTTAGTTAGTGTTTGGCTGTTAGTGTAATTGGGAAAGTAGTTCGGGTTTAGTGCTCCATATCGTGTTAGCATGGTGAGATGGTGTAGATGGTTGCGGTGGCTCTGTGGGCATTTTATCCGCGATTCTGCACGCCTCCGTTTGAAGAGGGAGGCTGTGCCCACCGTGGCTCTTCCGCGATTTAGATGCAGCCCACCGACTCTGCTCCCCCACCACGGCGGGCTCCATGAGGTGAGTCAGCTAAATAAAGTTTTAACATCTTCTAAAGACAATGCCCTACCTAAATGCAAAGTCCGAGAGACGTGGTTCACTTCATTTAGCTAGTCAGTCGGTAATTCTGCAACAGTGTCTCTAACTAATGCAGCACTAGTTGACAGACAGCATTACAGCGTGAAATCCAGCTTGTGACCTGGTTTTGTGAGGAATTCTGTTCAGGAGGTCGCAGTTCAGGCTCTCCACATCATATGTGACTGACTTTTACGTTATAACAACGATCACACACTAGGACTGTTATAAAGCGCCTATACAGGAGTTTCTTGTGTATATTATCTGACTTTATAAACTCCAACAACAATGTGCTTCTACTTTTTTTCAGGCTAAATCTACCCAAGACACTGGCTGTCCGACTGATTTAGTAGTCTGCAAGAATGCACTTGTCCAGGCTGACATGAAGCTTTACCGGCGTAGCAAAGGTGAATTATTTTTAATAATCTTCTATGTAAACATTTTATTATTACCTTCTAGTTTTAATTTGTTTTACAGATTATTGTTACACGTGATTTTATGCTCTTTTAAACATTTATAAATGTGCTGCTTCTTTGTTTTTGTACATAGCCAGCCAGAAGAGCTCACAGCTGCTGTGTGTCTGGTGACACAGGGACCATGACAGAAATTCATCTTCCAGAAAGTCCCAGAGCAGCGTCCACACCCCCTGAAAAGACCAAGATGTAAGGTGTCTGCTGTTGATTCCAGCTTCCACCTCAGTGACAGTGCAAGCTCAGTGAACTGTTCAAGGTAAAAAAATTAAAACTTTTCAGAATGTTTAAGATATTAACAATTAAAATAGTATGTGATTACATCATGAAGGAGGCTACTGATTCTGCCCCTGTGACACTTGGTGGTGACGTGTGAGCTGATTCACCTGGTAAATAACTTTTACATTAAATATTTTGTTTTTGCTATCAAAAGTAAATTAACTGATAACCTGCATTATTGCAGGACACTCAGCAAAATATGGACTCTACACCATGAGGCAGGCACACGTTAATACTTATAAGAGCACATAAGGTGAGCAACACCACATATTATTGTACACTGTCCTGGATTTGTTTTCTTTCTGCATCTCATCATTAGCCTGGCTGATCACCTGATAACTCCTGTCATCTGGTTGTGACAGCATGAGGATGTCCTCACACACCTGTAACCTATCAGCTCATCTGGCACAATAGAGAGAGAAGAGACAACACCACATCTCCTGTTCCTGGAAAGCCTTCAGCCATCCTTCGATGACTGAGAACCTCCATCAGCTCTGTCTCCTGTCTGCCCACAATTATTATAATAAATATTGTGTTTGACAAGTTTTTTGTGCTGCCAAATATCTCATTTTGATTCCAGTTTTGATATTTTAATGGATATTTATAAATTACATTAATTGAATTATCACATTGTCGCATGTTTAACTAGCTCTATTGTGATGAATTAAACTAGCACCTCACTGTTAAAAGCTCGTTTTAATTTCAAGCATGTTTAAGTATTTATGGACATGAACAAAAATAGGAAATATATAAATTGAGATTTATTTAATTAATATAACAAATAAGGGGGAAAGTGTCATTGAAAGGCACATTCTTCTGGAAGCTCCTGATCCTGATGACACCAGCAGAGACCACCTGCTGACACCAGAGGACCTAGAACCGAGAGAGCAGCTGTTATTAGTAAATAAATAAAGAAATCAGGGCAGTTTTAGTGGGCTGAACACATTACAGAATAATTTTCTCATGGGGTATTTTCATAACGTTCTATGCAGCAGATTGTAACTTGAGCCCAAGGCTCCTGGAGACCTGCTATCCAGCACGTTTCAGTGGTTTTCCTGCTTTAACAGGTTGGATTAGCTGTTAAGCAGCTCAGCTATTTGTTGCTGATTAAAACCAGGTGTGTTGAAGCAGATAAACCTCTAAAACATGCTGAATACTAGCTCTAGGGCCGTGGAGACAAACCCTGCAGCTAATCTGATGCTATGGCTAACGGCTACTTACCATTCAGAGCCGGTTCTGTTGGGTCGGTTCTGGTAATTTCAGGCAACTCACAAGCTCAAAACAATAAGGCTCAGGTCCGCTTGTCTCCTCCAAATAGACTTGGTCCCTTTCTTCTCGAGTGTCTGGGTAAGGAGGGGGAGAAACGTCCTCCACTTCTAATAACTGCTCAGAGTGAAGGGAGCTAGCATCGTCTAGTTAGCCGTCGTCTTCGTCACTGCCGCGGCTCCTCCCTCTCGGTCCTCCAGGCAACGCCTACTAATGTTGCAGTTTTTAAAATTGATACGTGGGTGGAGTAAGACTCTGAGGGGGGAGTTGCAACTTCTTTAAGTCAACGGAGCAAAGAAGCGTTTTTATTAAGCTTAGAGGTGAAGAGTGAAGCTGTTTACACACAACCACAGAAGTTCTTCTGTGAAAAGTAGTTTTACATTCAGGGATTTACACAGCTGACCCGTTATAATGAAGTAAAAAGTTTGTGTGAAGAATATAATTTTTATCTTCTCATGTGGATAAATGTTAAAATGTGTATTGCCTTTTTGTCACCTGTGGTCTCTGATTTTCTCTGTAGGACTGTGTGTCCAGGGTCAGGAGAGTCTTTACCTGGTTGTCATCCTGGGAGAGAAGCCTTCTACTGTCATCATGTTGATGTTATTTAGCTGTTTGATATTTGAACACGTTTATTAAAACAAATACTAACTGATAACTCTTTCTGGTCATTGATTTTATCACCAGTTTTATTATTACAGATGTTTTTGAACATGTTACATGAACAGAAAATGAAAAGATGGTAAGGAGACAAGATTATTTATAATACGTTGCACTTATTTACAGATCAAAACCAGTATGGACCAGTTTTGTACGGTTAAAGCAGGATTAACCTGAGTGACTCTTCCTGGATCATTTATTTAAACTGAGTGAGCAGGAAGTCTTTAACAGTGCAGCTGAATCTGCTGCAGGAGGATCCAGACGTGGATGGAGGGCTGGAGCAGACCCGTGGCTGGACATTTCTTGCCAGAGGAACATCATACAGGACGGTCTGCAGAGAGAGCTTTGGGACGCTTCCTCTCACTGTCCACTCCATCGTCCATCTACAGGGCGCATGGCTGGCTCAGACGACTGATGTTACATCTCTGTGAATGACTTGCCTGTTAACAGTAGTGGTGGTCTGCTGGTACCTCCTGCAGGACAGAGCACCACTGACCTCCTCCACACACATCTTCCTCACGCTCATCCTCCAGAACCACAACTTCACCAGCACCGATGCAGATGTGCAGCACAGTGTATGCTGACCTGTAATAGATTAAATAAGAATTTTTTTTTATAGAAAAATGTAAAACAAACATATAACCTGCAGTACACTGGTTCTGTTCAGTTTAAAGAAAAGCAGCAGGGAAAACTACAGAGAATTTACATTTTTAAGACAGATCTAATCATTATTAGGCTTAAGTTGAATAAACAAAAGCAAACAGTTCATTTTATTAAAAAGCCTGTTTTTTAAAAATGTTTTACCCTCATTTGATGCAAAAGAAGTTCTAAGGTCCAATTTACATTAGAAAACATCCTACTGCATTCAACATTTATAATGCATTTGGTTTATATTAATTACCTACAAGTTCTCAGCATTGTTCAAGTTTATGGAAAAAAGACTGAAGCTGTTTCTGCGTAAAAGTAAGGTGTTTTTTCTGTAACATGATTCTATTTGCACTGTGATGAAATGATCTAGTTTTTAGTGTTTTTACATTTTATTGTGGCTCTGTATTTTATTGATGTATGTTTCTTTTACAATTTTTTTTAGATTTTACCTCTTACCTCCTATATGACTTTTATCTGTTTTTATCTTGGGGTTTGTCCTTTTTACTGTACAGCACTTTGGTCAGCGGTCATGCTGTTTTTAAATGTGCTATATAAATAAACATGGAATGGTTTGGTGACTGATATTTAACTGTAGTTCTTTTTTCTAAGGCATTGCTTGTTCATTTAAAAACATTTTTTGTGGTTTGGTGTGTTGTGAAATCTATGATTATTCAGCTTCTCTGTGCTGTTCAGGCAGGTCTTGCGTGCTTATCAGCATCGGGCAAGGGTTGCCAGCATCACTAGTAATAAATAATAATGATTTGTTTTGCAATATGTCCAGCCAGTTTAGTAGATTTATTGTGCTGTTTGTTGGTTGCAAATTAATCATAACATATTAATCTACCAAATATGTAGCAATTTGGTGATATAAAGCTCATATGTGTTTTCCATTGCCTTTGTTATTGTTTTACAGGTTTACACCAGTGTCTGAGAACTTCATGGATTGGGCTGGTTATTTTTGGATTGGGTGGGTTTTCAGCTGTGATTGGGCTGGAGACTGTCAATCTCATCTGGCAACTGGCAACACCGGCCTCAGCAGGCCAAACCACTCTAGTGTCTTGCCAATCACAGCGCTCTATTGATTTGGTGGGCGGGATGCTACTGTGAGTGAGTGATTAATTAGCAATGGCTTTGGCAGAAACTTTGGACTATTTAGACCTGGGCTTTTCTTTGAGTCGAGGGCAAATAGAGCTACTTACATCTGTTACAGAGAAAAAGGATGCAGAATAGAACAGAATAGACTTTATTGATCTCACAGTGGAGAAATTCACTTGTTACAGCAGTACAAACAATTAAGAGAGTAAAGTAAAAGAAAAATAATAACAAAAGGTTCATGTGTATATGCACAAGCCTGTCCCAGCAACCCTCAAACACATCTTGGTGGGTTGCAAGATCAGCTTATCTCAAAGGAGATAAACCTTGCATCCCAACCAGCTGAACGCCATGCCTCCAAATGCACAGATTGCCATCTCACAGAAAATCTTCATGTGGGCTGGGGAGGAACAGCAGACAGCGCCATCAATCACAGTCTCTGGTCCATTGGATGCCGCCCGGGACTGGGATTTACGTGTAGACCTCAACCAGAGGCTCACCTTCCCACACAAAACTGCAGCAACCAACCTTCGCCCAGACCTTGTTCTCTGGTCAAAGTCCTGCCGACGTGTCTCCTGCCGACGTGTCTTCATAGTTGAGACGACAGTACCATGGGAGGAGGAGACATTCAAATGGAAGAGGCTGTGGTATACAAGTTTAGCAGCTGAAGCAAAGGGGCAGGGATGGACTGTGAAGGTATGGCCAGTGGAGGTGGGATGCAGAGGTTTTGTAGCCAGTTCCACAATAAGGCTTTTGAAGGAAGTAGGGATCAGTGGCCAGGCCCAACATGGGGGCGATCAAAGAACCGCAACTGAACAGAACATTCACTGGTTGTGGCTGAAACGCAGGGATGCAACTTGGGCTGCTAAATGATGACGTGATGCTTCTGTACGACACACACCTGGTCTGGTCAACCAGGGGCGGGCCTACCCCGGCAGAGGGTGTCTTGTGATAAGTGGCCGAAACACCCAATGAAGTTGGGGCACACAATTAAAGATGTGTCACACTGGGTTCACCACGAAATCTGTGGCAAAGCTCCCCCAAGGATAACAGTCTCATTCAATTATTGTGCTGAAAGTTGGGGATCTTTAACATCCAGTCCTAGTAAGAATCTTTATCTTAACAAAAGCACACATGTCTGAATCCAGTTAGCATTGAGATAGTGCTCTTGTCTTTGGATATTTCATAAACACTAATATCCTGAGGTTTGCGGCTTGTTGTCAGTCTAGTTGTAAATACTTAACCGTGCTTTAGAGTCTGCACCAGTGGCGGCTGGTGAAAAATATTTTTGGTGGGGCTGTGCTATTTTTTTATTTTTAAACAAACTTGTGCTTTCTGAGCTTTGTGCACAACTTCACTATTTCCTGAATTAAGCACAGCTCTTTTATTTCCTGTCTTACATCATTGGACAAACTGATTAATCCAGGTGTGTCTGACTATTGGCATGCTGCCTTGCGGACCAAGGTTGAAAAATACTGCATTAAATTGCACATAAAATAACACGACCATAAATGGTAAATAGGCAATGCAAGAGGCAAGTAACAAAAACATTTTGTTTAATTTCAACATTTGAGTGAACACCAAAAATTATGAGCAGATCACTGTTACAGTAATGGTAGTAAACACCACTTAGACAAAATGCCAGAAATTTACACAGTTAAATATTTCTGGAGTGTTGTGCCAAGGTCAACTTTATACAAAGATCAAGTGGATGCATTTGTGTGTGTGTGTGTGTGTGTGTGTGTGTGTGTGTGTGTGTGTGTGTGATACCTCATTTGTACAGAAATTTTGCCCTTCTGTCCTTCTGAGTGGCAAAGCTCTCGATGAGCTTTTTATTGAAGTCAGGAATGTTTGTGACAAGCTTTTTTTTCCATGGAGAGCATG